CAAAAATAAAATTTTGAAAAAAATGTCGCTTACGTTATTTTGGCGGTTAGGGCTCGATATGTACCATTCATTCCAGCGGATTTCGGAATAGGGTGTCCACCTAAATTTTGGAGTAAGAAATTTACTTAATAGATATGGAAATCCAATTTTTTTTTAAAGCTATGCAAATCTTGAAAACTTTAAAAAGTATATGCACTCCGGGCAAAGCTCGGTCAACCTGGTACTGATCTTTTATATATGTAACTCCTTTATCTATGTATGCTGTAAATATATAAATTGTTTCGAATGCAATAATCTGTTAATGTAAAATTTTCTGATGTTCGTGGAAGGTATGAAGCCAAAGACAGCGCTGCTCTTACTTGCTACTGTTTGTCTTTTGTTTGTTTAATAAATAAAATCAATAAACATTGTTTAATGTTGTCTGTTATTAGGCCAAAAAAATATAAAAACAAGTAATTTTTAGCAAAAAAAAACCGACTTCAGCTCCCATATAAAAAAAAATGATCCACTGATCGGATCTCAACTAGATTAGTATGGGACCACCTCTGAGACACTACCTTTCCGAATTATCGAAATCGGTTGACGTGGTCCAAAGTTATGCGGTAACATACATAAAAAAAACAAAAAAAAAAAATATTCCGACGAACTGATAACCTCCTCCTTTTTTGGAAGTCGGTTAAAAAAACAAAAGCTTTGTACAAAAACTTAAGAAAATTAAAAAAATGTTCACTAAAATTTTAAACTTCTTAATCAAAATTTTTAGAATAGTTTTTGGTATGCAATTTTGTAGGCACTTCAAACTTCCACTTTATTATACGAAAAGTCAATGGGCTATGGAACTAAATTTTTTAAAAAAATTCTGAATAAAAATGTTAAAATTTTGGTGAAAATTATTGAATTTTGATATTTTTTTTACAAAGTGTGAGATGTGGATTTATATGACATTTTTTATATAATGAGCAAAATTTTTATTTAAAAAAAAAAATAAACATTAAATAAGCAAAATGAAAATAGCAAAACTGGTCAAAATGTTGAGGTGCTATTATTTAGACCGCAGGTGTATGTGTGAATATAGATACATATGTATGTATACTTATGCATGCCCATATATAGCTAGAAAATAATTAAATTTCACTTTTCGGCTGTGTGATTAAATTTCTGCCTTTGCGGTTAATTTTCAAAATTGGTACGCGGTTAAATTTGCGAGCGCCGCTGTTAGTTGAAAACAAAAGCGTAAAGTTACATTGCACATTACGCTGGATTATATTCACTTATCCACCGATGAGAACTAATTACATTCTGCTTAGGCGACTATCCTTATTAGAGTAAAGTTGTAACAGATATAGTAAATGTTCGAGCAAAAGGATTGGATTTTTATTTCAAGCTATCCCAGCTTCCTCCCACCCGTTTTTCCGTTTGCAATAGTTCCGCCAATGTAGAGCGGGTAACTCCGTTTGTACCAGATATTTTTTGCGAACCTCCTTGGCACACGGTAGAATGTAATAAATGGGCTCCAGCACTGTTTAAAAAGTCAATTTGAATTAAGGGAATAGGTAATATGTGGAAATATGTACCACCACATGGGTGCCAGAAGGAAGGGGTTTAGGAAGGTAGTAGTTTGAAAATGTTTTAAGAGGGTTGCTACCTGTTTGAAAAGAAGAATTTAGTTAACTTTAACACAAGTTATATGAAATAGTAAAATATGGGTGTCAACCGAAAGAGTGTTAAGAAATCTTTAGCTTGAACACTAATAGTATTTTTTTATTATTTTAATAGGGTTTCCACCTGTTTAAAACTTTAAATTTCAATTATTCAATAATTTAAATGAATTATTAAAATATGGGTATCAATAGAAATGGGTTTGAAGGGCTTTACTTTTGAACTGTAGTCAGCGGGGTTGCCAAATGTTTCAAATTCAATTCCACTTTATTCATCTGTAATCTAAAATATGTATCGCAATGTAAAACGAAGGTTAGTTAAGGTTTAAGCCTACAAATACTTTTGAAGAGGGTTGCCGCCTGTTTGGAAAGTTGAATTTAATCAACTTATACACACGTTATATGTTATATATAAAAATGCGGGTGTCAAACGAAAGAGTGGTAAGAAATATTTGATTTGAACATCTGAAATGTTTAAATAGGGTTGCCACGCGTTTAAAAAGTTACATTCAAATTATTTAATAAGTTGGTTAAAAAGTTAAAAAATTGGTATCAATGGGGCTATAGTTTTAAAATATCTTCGATTAGACTTGCCACATTTTCGAAAAGTCATATCGTTCTAACTAAGTATCTAAAAATATGTACTTACATTATACGGCAAGGCATTTGTTGTGAAGGTCATTACGTTTGCATCGTTCTTTCGAATTTCAAAATTAAAGGTGAAATTAAAGACCTTGGCCTCTAGATGTGCGATAAGGTTTTATTTTTTGCATTCAAAACTTTTTTATCGGTACAAAATGATTTGAAAGGTGACAGGTAACAAGATCAACGGATATAACGTCAATTGGCACTATTTCCCACAGTGATGCGAAATAAAATCAATTGACGTTATTACCTTTTCAAAAGAGAAACAAAGTGAACAAAAATTTGGAAATAAAGTAAGTAATGCAACTCAAGAAGCACTTGTTTCAGCCGCAACCATTTCCGTTGCACCACCTCCGTTGCATCATTTCCGTTGCATCTTTTCCGTGTGCAATTTCCGTTGAATTTGCCAAGATACTCCCAACCAACCAACCGCCGCTAAAGAAGTGTCACTTCAAAAATATAATATTTCGATGAAATTGGTGTATCCTGCTTGTTTGGAAGATACTGCAGAGTTTCTTACTATTACGTCCACTTTCTCCAAAACTTCTTTGGATTCACTAAATATTATGAATTTTGGAAAAAATAAAAAAAATACATTTTTTTTTTCTACAGCAGTTTCCATTTATTCTTTTTGAAAATGACATACCGTAAACATTTACAACACCTTATTATTATATTGAATTATGCATATTTAGTAAATCAGCCTTATCATGAGTTTCATTTTTCCCGAATAGGTTCACTTTTCGCTTTTGGTTTCCATTTTTTCGGAGCGAAACTCAGGATAAGACAGAATATGTACTTGAACTTAAACCTTCAATTCTTCCTACAGTGTATACAGCAAAAGCTGAGGTAATGCAAGCAGAACTTTTGCCATGGCAAGCGGATCTCGTCCACTTTTATCCACTGTCTCTTGATTCGTGAGCCATAAATATCTACACCCACTTCCATTTCCATTTCCATTTCCATTTCCATTTCGAATATTATTTATTTTGTGTTCAAATCAGAATACTTTCCTTCTGCTATAAATGCAATAAAAACCCAAAATTTTTTTTAGGTGAAGCTGTGCTCGCAGTTTATCGCAGCTGCAACTATTTCAAATTTGACATGCAAACTTAATGTTTACTTGTCCTAATAACAATTCAGTTCGCTTCCTAGGTACTTTTTAAATATCCCTTTTTAAAGTAAGCACTGGAAAAATTTTTTACTCACCAAATTTGTGTAGAACTAGCAGACCCGGCGAACTTCGACCCGCCCAAAATTAATTTTTTAATTGAAAACGACCGCTCTCTAATCTTGAAAATGAGCCAAATTGATCATAAATAAATAGGAGTTTTAGTAATAACTCGACTCTGGATCCTCTTGGCGGATCAGATCAAGAATAAGATTTTTAGTAATAACACGACTCCAGCAAAAATCAGCGCCGACTCCCCGCTGCTGCACCTTTAACGCATCTACTTTTTGTTTCCGTCCTTTACCGAGCCACTGTGGTTCTATTTTACTTTCCTTGTCTATAGTTTTATAATAGATTAAGCGTTTCCCCTCAAAGAAGAAAACTAAATACTGGTGTTTCTCCATTGGTTTTATTACTTTTATTGCTTACAAATATTCACAGAATTTTAAGCGACAATCAAAGCGATTAGTGCAAATTAGAAATACCAGTTACTGTCGAAATTCGACCTGGTTTCTTTTTTAAACAATTTACTAGCATTATAGCCTTATGGTTGACAATTACTCTATAAACCATGTTTTTTGTAAAAATTCTTCTATAAGCAGACAAAATACCCAAGTTTGAGGCATTTTCCAACCAATTCTGAAACACAAAAACTTTCCTTAAATAAAACAAAAACTGTAACAAAAAAAAACGTAATCGTCCTCGTACTTCCTTCCGTTTTTAGTTGATCTTCTTATTCGATTTCATATTTGTGCTCGTATTCTTCTTCTTATTGGTGTTAGTGGACGTATTTATCGCGGCCTTGATCTACGTATTTACTTCGTTTACGTCTTCGTAACAAAATAAACTCAAAATCCAAATCAATTTTGAATCCACAAAAACTCCCGACATCTTCAGAAAAATACTTTTCGAACTATGGTTTTGGTTTCGAATTCAAAAGTAAGTTTTGATAACTCGATAAAATTCGAGAAATCTGAAAGTAGTAGTAATTCGATGAACTCTTATTACTTTAGAAATTTCGGTAACACGAGTACATACTTTGAATATTCCATAAACTTCGATTCGACAAGCCAAAAACTTTCGATAAGCTGAAAAAACCTAATAAATCGATATTTTTTTGAACTTGATAACCTCTGATAAGTCTATAAATTTTGGTGGCTCCATAAATGTGGAGAGTTCAATAAATCCCCTTAGCTTGATAAGTTTGAACGACTTAGAAAATTTCGATAATCCGGTAAATTTTTATAACTCCATAACTAAGTTTCTATATCTCGATAAATCTGGATAACTCTATAAACATAGATAAATTTAAATAACTCGATACGTTCTGATAACTCAATAAACATGGATAACCTGATAAATTGAACCAATAGCGCTCTGCGGTGGTTTAGAAATTGGATCAGTGGATTCGTCAATCGAGCAACCACAAAATTTATGTTAGCGTATTAATTTATAGATAAGCGTTAAATAGTAAATAGCAACCGCTTAGCTACCAGTGCAAAAGCATTGCTTTGTAAATGCGTTATTTACTTTTTAATAGTCTTTAACTTTCGTATTAATTTTTTGATCAGATTGCCTAGTTTGCTTAGTTTTACCCAAAATACCTCGAGCAAAAAACAAATTACGCTTAACGCTTCTAAAACACCCATTGCTATGAGTACCATTCGCAGGTCTTGCAATTTCAGTGGGACGAATTCCGGCTGCTTATTGCGATCTTCAAAATAAATCAAGTCCATCTCCAACAACTCTATTATAGTATGCTTTAACCAGTGGTTTATCAATCCCGCAGCATGCAGTCGTGCCAGAAATATATCTAAACTAGCAAGATATTCTGAGTTTTCAGGCAGTGGCAATGCCATTGGCATCTTATTCCATAAACAGATGTCGGAGAGGCGAAACAACGGTTTTGAAAAATACTTCTGTGCCTCATTATATATAAGCCACATATTTTCGACCGGAAATGCATAGTGCGTATCAAATTTGTCTCGCAATGATAATATTTCGGAGAGATTGTTGAAAAGAGTAAAATTTCCTGTGTAGCTCTCAAATTCTGGTATGGTCTTCACACTTTTTATCCAAGGGGCAAAAATAGGTATCTTCAGTCCACGTTTGAATATATCATCAATGGTTTTTATTGGTGAGGCAATTGGTGCGTTCACAGTAAAGCTCTGCAGGTAAGTGCCGTAGGCGGTGCCTATAATGATACCCGCAAATGAAATGGTAATTGCGATGGTTCTGTGAATGCGTGAAGTGCAAAATGGCATGCCGAACAGGCCTTGGAGCACTGAGAATTTCACAAAGTATTCAATGAGCGGCACTTGCTGTCCGGTTTTTAGACGAGTTATTAGAGCGCAAACAAAAGAAATGAATACAAAACTGAAGAAGAATGAAATTAAAACGGTTTTGTTTAAAATGGCATAGTAGAATGTTAGTTTAGGAAGACCCTCTTCCAACGGTATCATTAGGCATGTATCCATGATATGTATGGTATTTGTTAAAACCACATCATCATGCGGAAACTGCATGCCAACAAGTTTGCCTACGACAGTAGTTCTATTTTTCATTCTAGAAACGAATTGGCTCGGCGAAAGATTGTACTCATTAGTGAGTGAATAAACAATAGTGCCATTGTGGCGCTTCACGTACTCCGCTAAAGCTCTGCCCATGAAACCACTTATTGTGGCTGGCCCGCGTTTCGGTTTGTAGTCGTAAAACCGTGGAATCCATATATTACCGAAAACACGAAACTCATGGCCATACATATTTTCCATATGTTTCGGGAACATGGCTCGATAGAATGCTGGAAAAGTCAGTTTGATAGTTCGCTGTACGGGAAATAGTTTCATTGTCCAGTAGCTGCGTTCATTCACTGCCATTTGTGGCTGCAAAGCAATGACATTTATGGCACGATTTTCAGCACAGAGTTGAAGTATTTCTGCCACATATTCATCGCTTGCTTTATCATCGAAAAGCAATACAAGATCACTTTGTACATTCAGGTGCAATCGCTGCCATAAAGTGCGCAAAACTTTCTCATTGCTTGATGGATTTTGACTGAGCTGCACAATGCTGAGTAAATTATGATTGAATTTGTCTTTGTAAAGTTCAACGGGTGCAAGTGCATCGACGTTGAGCAGTGGTATTGGATTTTTAGTCTGCAGTTTTTGTAAGATTACCGGCGCCAAATGATGATCGGAGCTCTCGTCGTCGCCACAAGTGTAGATGAAAGTGCGAATTTCGTGTTCAGCGGCTGTAGCTAAGCAGATATCTTTTACAAGTTCAGCGTATTCTTGGTCGATCGGTGATAGCGTAATCAGGCTTAGAAGAGCGGTGAGATTTTGAAAAAACTGCATGGTGGTGCAAGATTAAAGATATTGACTTTGCTATGTTGAATAAGTACACGGATATTTTTTCGAACTTTATCCGTTGGCTAAGTTTAATACTCTGTTTTTATTTTTCAACTCGCCACTACCAACAAGCTGGTAGAAGTTAAAATATTTTTGATGGTTATGACGAGTATACAACTTCAGTTTATTGCGGTTGAGTACACTCAGTTTAATTAAAAATATTAATCTTCGATATTTTTTATATGGTGCGTTTGGCGCCAAGGGTCAGTGTGCACATTAGGGTGGATTAAAAATATAAATTTTTATTTGAGGATTCGACCTCGGAACTCTTGAGCGACAGTCTAGTGCTCTGCTCACTCGACCCTTGCGACTGTTGTAGAGGCGCGAGCAAAATGGCATACATACATGCATGCTATCAGTTGAGTGCCCCTGTTTTCTTTGTTGTCATCACACAATTTTTTTTTAACTTTTTGTGACTCTTTCTTACGGAATAACCAAACCATCTCAAGTCACTAAATGAGTCACTAGTTGATATTCTCAAATTTAGTGACTTGAGATGAGATTGACTTCCTCAATACCAGCATAACATTTAATGAGCTACAAGACTGGGTACACAAAATCTTTTAAAATAATAAATGTATAAATAAATAAATACTATACGATCGGTTTAATACCGTCCAGTATGATCCAGTTACGCAACCTTTCCGCACTATCATAGATATCGAAATCGAAAAATAGATTTTTCCGCTCCACCATAGTGCAGATACAATTATACATATATACGTACAATCACAATTATATATTTAGATGACCAAATGTTTATTTATAGCTAAATTATTACGAACTCACACTTACCGTACACTGAAAAATGTCTTCTTCTACCCCAAGCATAGACCTTCTTACTGGCGGGTTAATCTCCACCATGCTTAGAGAGTGCAATTTTAGATCGTCCATGTTCTGGTCTTTTATGGATGGGCCACCTCTTAACCAAACCACAAATGTATGGTTACGTTGTCATGATCTCCAAAGGTGGGCCCTAATAAATTCTATAGGACTATCTTGCATTTGGCCATATTCAAAAGCATTCCCAAATCGGGGAGTGGTGATTATGCGCTAGCAAGGAGCTTGATGCCAATAAGTCGGATATCTTTTTTTATGAGGAGAATGGAGCACATGATTGAAAAGTACATTAGATCAAAGGTTATGGTGGACGGTCCTCTTAACAGGACGTATAAAATTTGGTGAGAGGCCTTTTGACAACGCTACTCTATATCATGAAACAGTTGCCTGACTGATACATGGTAGTGATTGGGAACTGTGGCACGAAGCTGAATCGTCTACGAACGTGTAGTGGGCTTAGGAGTTTTCACCATACCAGCTTATTCAGCTGTTATGGCCTTTTTCCAGCTTTACTGGTAGATGGCCGCAAGTCCAGTCCGGATTTAGCTGGGGCTACGGCTTCCACTACCGCTAGCCTCTACTCTACGGTCAGTTATTTCCCTGCTGCTATTTCGACCGTTGCATCAATTTGATGTATCAAAACCTTTGCGTGATCGGTTCGGTTAAATTAATTATTGAATTATGATTAATGATAGTAACAATGTGCAGATGATGACCCTAACCAGCGCAAGAGAAACCTTTCCGCTCGTAGTTTAGGTTTAAGCCAGAACTTTCTCGTTTGTGAGCTGGATGCTTTGAGGAATATACTTAGCCGCAGATGACGTCGTGAGTTTGAAGTAAATGCATTTCGTCAACGAGAGATACCTCCAGACTACAGTCGACCTTCATGTGTTCCTTCGTGAAACCGTAGCTATATCGCGGCTTCGGCTTCCGAGAAGACGATGACATGCCACCCAACTCGGTGGATTCATACCTCTGCATAGCTCTGACTTTACGCCAGCCCTGAGTAATCGAGACGTCGGCAATGGCTTGCCCCTGCTGAGACAATAGCTCCGTTTAAAACCGGTTGATTGCCGGGGTCAACTGTAACCCAGATCGTTTATATATAAATGCCATAAGGCTTAAGGGGCTTACATGGGCACAATATGAGCATTTAAGGGCTTCTTTTCCATTATCTGGCTGGAAAGTTATCTTCTTTCTCTCTCTCTCTCTCTCTAAAGTTGAAGCCAGAAGTGAGATTTATGTTGACTTTGCCGTAGCGCTGGACCGACTTCGTTTAGTCCTGAACACTCACGAAAAGACTGGACCCTAAACCGCTATCAGTGTAGATCGACGAAATAGCCGGCAACTAAATGTGGAGCTCTTGCTAATCAGCCGTAGTTCGGACGCCCCATGGCTTCCGACGAAAACGTCTCAGAGTCTCCATGCGAGTACCCAATGGCTCCATGTAAGATAACAGCAGGCGGATTACCAGCCGTAAGTTTTCCATATTTTGTTTCCGCAAGAATTGGCAAACGGCCATCCCTAACCCACAGCAATTCGATTTAAAACCAGAAGTCCATGTCCAAAGTCTGAATACTAGGAAGCAGGCACACCCTGGGCTATGCGTCCATCGACTTGCTCTTTTATAACTTGGGGCCCAACCCCAGCGGAAAGCAGAGTTAACTCAGAAGGCAGTCCGTGAGGTAGGTAGACCAATATCAGGCCAATCATGAGAATTTTCACTCCGGCCGCTACTAGCCAGCACTATATACAGAGACATGACAGTAGCTATAACCAGATTTTAGCCACTCCCACGCCGAGAGTGTAGCCGTACTTCCGGCAGTACATGCGAGCGGAAGGTAGCGCCTAGGGAGCGATGACAGTAAGCGCATCTTTCGGCTGATCACCTTACCTAAAATCAATAACTTTTAATTTGCTAATTGAAATTGAATTTACAGAGCGATAATATTACGAGCTGCACCCCGCAAAGAGTTTCCGTTACCATTTCTCCACCACAGTGATCCAGCAGTTTGACACTTGAAGATTTATTGAACAGCTAACGGAGTCAAGTTGCTAATGTATACCTACTAAAGCAATTAGCTGTTATTAACTTAAAGGTAAAAAACCAATTCACAATTAATTAATTTAAGTAAGTCCCAAAGAAATAAAAAAAGAAGATTTATTACCCAAAAACTTATCAACAACTTCATACCATCTGAGTAACGTAACCCGTTAAGTTTTCAGCAGAGTTCAGTCTTTCATTCAAACAAGCCATAGCCGGACCAAAAAAGAGAATGCAATTCTTTTACAATCTAACTGCGATACTCAATCGGATAGGTGTATCACCTATGCACCAACAATTTGGCCAAATTTTGAAGGACATCTGTTTGGCCACGACAGAGCAGAGGGAGATTCGCACTTTTTTGTACACCCGAAGCGAGAATCCAAGTAAGGATCATTTAAACGTGCCGGATATTTTACAAGAACTTCGGCCTCAGAAGCTCTTTGCCGTCATCAACATCGATGTATTCACGCCCATTCAGCGCTATAGAGACCTGTTCAATCATAACTTTCTCAGCATTGTGCAACTAAGTCAAAACGCAAAGAGGGACAAGCATTTGATAAGCACACTGTTGGAGCGTTTACACTGGAGCAGAAATAAACCTATCATATTGCTCTTGGATGACACCGCCAGTGAGGCCTATGTGGATAAGCTTTTTGAATTTTCTGCAAGGAAGGGTGGTACGAACGTCATTGCATTGCAGCCACAAATGGCAGTGGGAGAACGCGAGTATTGGAAGTTAATAACATTTCCCGTTCGCCAAACTGTGAGAAGGAAATTCGAACCATTTTATCATGCGCTTTTCGCCAGTCGAATAAAGAATATGCACGGTCAGCCAATGCGCCTCATGGAAAGGCTTTGGTATCCAAAAACCTATAACTATACACCTGCCGGTGGGTCCCAAATAATGAGTGGCTACATGGGCAGAGCGTTCGCTGAGTATGCGCGCGTTTTCAATGTCACGCTGGAGTATCCAGTGCTAGTAGGAAAAGACCGCTTTATCATTTTGAAGTACGCGGCGCTCTTAAGAATGGCAGCGCAGATGTTGGCTTAATTTCCCGTATCGAAGTTGGTGATATTAAATTGAGTTCAACGACTGTGGTGCACCGTACCGACTGGTGCTTGATGGTACCCGTGGAAAATCCATTGCCGCCATTTGCTTTCTTTAACCAAATATTGGATACCTATGTCAATTACATGCTCTGCTTCAGCTTGATACTAATCTCGTACGTTTTGGCTGTCGTGTCCCGCTGGAAGGATCAGCGGCAGCCATTATTCATCGAATATTTTATAAATATCTCGGTCCTACAAGGACTATTGGGTATGACATTTTGGTTGAAAAGGCAACTTTCAAGGAGTCAGAAGTATATTTGCATTACCATTTCATTTGCGGGTATCATATTTGGTACCGCCTAGAATGCTTACTTACAAAGTTTTACGGTAAACGCCCCCTTAGAACCGGAAATGAAAACTATTGAGGACGTCCTAAATCGTGGCATTAAGATAGCTGTGAGCGCGAGCGATATATATTGGATAAGCCACTATACAAATATGTCTATGTATATTAAGAACTTTACAATTTTTACCAACTACACAGAGATGTTATTGCTTCGGGACTCATTTGACACACGCTATGCATTTCTGGCCCCTGATATGTGGCCCATATACAATGAGCAGCAGAAGTACTTCTCAAAGCCAATATTTCGAATTTCGGATATTTGCTTTGAAAAAGATACCACTTTGGTGTTGCCTTTGCCGATAAATTCGGTTTATCGCGAAACTTTGAATAAATTATTTTTGACACTGCAGGAAGCTGGACTAATGAACTTTTGGCAACGTCACAGCTTTGTAGAGTTGACGGCGATGAAAGTAATCAAATTGGAGGATTCCAATAAAAAGCCTGGGTTCGAGTCACTGAAGTTGGAGGACTTGCGCGTGATATTCATTGGAATGTGTATACTGATGTCGTTGAGTATATTCGTTTTCGTATTGGAACTCTGTTGGGAGAAAATAAGAAAATTTGGGCGTTCAACTGTTTCTGCTATAAAATTAATTTGGAATTTGGTGAAAATTCCATGTTGAAGAATTTGTATAAATATGAAGTTTTTGATTTACCAAATAATAGCACAAATATATGTATGTTTGTATGTTTTAGCATAACATCTATTGTCGTTAATAAAAATAATGCTTAAATTGTGTCGATTAAAAGAAAAAGATTTTGTTTCTTGCATCGTACGTGAGATATGAGTGTTACAATAAACATTGCCCTGTAAGTGTTGTTTCCATTGATGAAAGAGGCCACGCAAGAGCAATAATGCCAACGCATTTTATTTTTCTTTTGAAAAGGTAATAATATCAATTGACTTTATTTCGCACCACCACCTGTCACCGATTTTGAATTTGATCAAATTAAAAACCAACACTATACGATACCTCTCTTCACTCAGAAGCGGCTACACGGATTTAGAAAGGCGACCCCGCCGTTCGCGCAAACTACCGCGGGATCAGTCTTCTAAGCATAGGTTACAAGGTCTTATCGAGCGTAATGTGTGAAAGACTGAAGCCCTCCGTCAATGAACTAATTGGGCCTTATCGGTGTGGCTTTAATAATAATAATAATAATAGATTGGCGCTAACGCATATGTTAGTGCTTGGCCGAGATTCTCCTCCAATATGTGGCGTGCACCTTGATGTTGTCACACAAAGGGGAGGGACCTACAGTTTTACGCCGACTCCGAACGGCGATTGTATTTTTATGAGGAGCTATTTTTCATGGCAGAAATACACTCGGAGGTTTGCCATTGCCTGCCGAGGGGCGACCGCTGTTAAGAAAAAACCTTTTTTCTATATTTTTGCGATGATGCTTTGACCGGGGATTGAACCCAGGCCCTGCGGAGTGTAAACGCGCACTGCTTACCACTACACCACAGCGGACGCCAGTGTGGCTTTAGGCATGGAAAATCCACCATAGACCAGGTATTCACAATACGCCAAATCTTGGAAAAGACCCGCGAGAAAAGGATCGACACTCACCACCTATTTGTCGAATTTAAAGCCGCTTTCGACAGCACTAAAAGGGGTTGCCTATATGCCCTTATGTCTGAATTTGGCATCCTCGCAGAACTGATACGGCTGCGTAAAATGATGTTGAGCAATACCACCAGCTCCATCAGAATTGGGAAAGACGTCTCCGAGCCGTTTGCCATCAAACGAGGTCTCAGACAGGGTGACTATCTTTCATGTGACTTCTTTAATCTGATGTTGCAGAAGCGGCAGAACTGAACCGCTCAGGAACAATTTACTACAAGAGCGTGCAATTGCTGGCTTATGCCGATGACATCGACATCATCAGTAACAAAAATCGCGAAGTCTTTTCTGCCTTTTCCAAGTTGGATAAGGAAGCAAAGCGAATGGGTCTGGTTGTAAACGAGGACAAGACGAAGTATCTCCTATCAACAAAAAAAACAGTCAGCATTAACACCGATAATAATGTCAGCATGGAAATCCAACGCAGAATCACTCTTGCCAACAAGTGCTATTTTGGACTGAGTAGTCAATTCAGGAGTAAAGTTCTCTCTCGACGTACGAAAACCACAACCTAAAAGTCACTCATCATGCCCGTGCTGGTGGAGGCGGCTCTTGGAATATTCGAGAGAAATATTTTGCGGAAGATTTACGGACCTTTACGCGTTGGCGACGGCGAGTACCGCACACGATGGAACGATGAGCTGTATGAGGTTTACAACGACATGGATATATTGCAGCGAATTAAAGACAGCGGCTCCGCTGGCTTGGCCATGTCGTTCGAATTAACACCGATGTTCCAGTACATGTTATACATACGTTAAGATGTGTCACTCATACGTTACGTAGCACCCGTCTCACAATGACCAAGTGCAATTACCACAAGCATTCGCGTGTACCTACTTACATACATACATACATACTACTTGTGGCAAATTGCCTCATATGTATATATAACTAGTCGCATGATATCTGCCACATCATAGGAAGCAAAATGTAACTTTCTATTTCAACACTTTACAAAGCCCGTAAATACGATATAAACCGCATATATGTATGTATGTATGCTTGTCGTGACCGCCCATGTTGCTTTGGAAAGCTCGGCAAATCAGAAAGCGGCCAGACATACCTTCCTTACCAGCCGTGCGACCTGAGTCACCGATTTTCTTATTTTACTGGCCGTTGTATTGACCAACTCACTCAGCTTATTTGTAGAAGCGCCGTCAACAACTGCACATGCATTCCTGCATAGCTACACATGTTTCTATGTTTGCACCTACATAGGTATGTCTGTGTGGTTGCGTAACTCGAGCGGATTATGATTTAATTTCATGTTGCCAACGATTCCGTGTCACAGTGAAAGCTGACTGTGTTGCATGCTGCTTGCCACATAACAAGATTCCAGGTTATTCCCAACAAATTGTTCTAATTTTAGTTGTTTGTTGTTGTTTCATTTTTGCGGTGCTCTTCACTATTGTTCTACTTCGAATATGGTTGATAACATTTTTGTTGCAATTAGCAATCGCGTCAATATTGTTGGCATGATTTTTGGCTCATATACTACATAAGTTGATATGCACATACACATACTTATATACAATATTTTTCTTGTGCATTTTCATTTTTCGAGTTGAAATTAGACAGCGTGCCTATTGGAGCATAAGCAATACTTTGTTAGTGCTGCTTGCGCGGTAACTTTTTGTTGCGTTTTTATTTGAATTTGGGTTTTTAGAATTGAGAAGCGTTATGAGTACAGATTTTGCTACTTACGAAATCCTATTTGAGTACTAACCGCATTATAACAATTCATATACATATAAAGATATTGAGTGATATCTTTTACTAACTAAAATATGTAAGAGCGAAGATACAGTGAGAAATAAACATTTACTACTCGTACAATAATATGTTAGGTTAGGTTAGGTATGCTGGCCAGCCACTGCATGGCTTCGCAGAAACCAATAAGGTCCAATGCGTTACCAGATGAACTACGACCACTTTAGACAGATAATCACTACGTACCAGGAGCAATATCGAAGAACAACGCAGTCCTCTGGGCAAACTGAAACAACTTGCTATACCCTACTTTGGCGGCGGGGGTTACCGCCTTCTCTTTCCCACTGGATCTTCACAGCGATAGGCGCGCCGAATGGCTCGGTGAACAGCTACACAGACGGGTCGAAGATGGAGGAAGCCGTAGGGGCGGCAGTCGTCTGTGCGGAGCTCGGTCCATAGCTTCCGAAATACTGCAGCATCTTCCAGGCGGGAGTACTGGCTATAATGAGAGCGGCGGAGCTACTGAGCAGCAACCTCGTAAACAAATAGGTGAAACTCTACAACGACAGCGAGGCTGCGATTAAGGCGCTACTATCATACAGAACTTCCTCGAGATGTGTGGCGGAGTGCAGATCAGCTCTGAAACTGCTACACACCAATAGTGACGTACATCTTTACTGGGTTCAGGGACACACCTGCGTCGCGGGAAACGAAGAGGCCGACAGGATGGCCAAAGAGGATGCTTAGTCAGAAACCATGCTGATAGAGGAGGTGCTGATTTCCCTCCAACCGATTAAACGGGAACTTGACTTGTCCATGATCTGGAAGCTGCAGAAGGCGTGGCATAAAACGCAAGACTGCAAGGTTTCAAGGGTTATGTGCAGAGCATATGACATGAAGCTCACGAAGTTCCTCCTTTCCCTCAATAGGGAGGACGCTAGGCTACAATAATATGTTAGTGCTTACATTTTTGCTAAGTGGTTCGCCGAGCTTCTCCTCTAATTTTTGGTTCTCGTCTTTATGTTGTCACACAAAGGGGAGGCACCTATAGTTTTGCGCCGCCTCCAAACAGAAATTTAATTTTATGTGAAGTTTTATGATGGCAGAAATACACTCGAAAGTTTGCCATTGCCGCCGAGGGGCGACCGGTGTTAAGAAAAAACATTTTTGAAAATTTTTTTGCGATGTTGCTTTGACCAGGGCGTGAACCCAGGCCCTGCGGAGTGGTAGCGTGCACTTCTAACCACTACACCAAAGCGTCCGCCAAACCATAATGCATTGGTATAAATATGTATGTGTTTTGTACAATTTGAGATTTTGTAGTTAATCGTGCCATACATGAAGAAGAGCCAAAAAAAGGGTTAATGTAGACAAATATATGAATGTTTTACATTTAAGTTTTCAAATAAGCGTACGTCATATTTTGACATCACTTTGTTTATTACATTATGCTCCACTATATATTTTTTCGTGTGTTACAATGTATTTTATTTTTTTTTTTTGGGCGAAGTTATCGTATGTGCCATAAAAAAGTATTCTGATGGTAGTAAAACAAAATATAAAAAAAAATAAATAAATTAAAATTAAAAATAAAAAAACATTCAAAAAATTTTTAAAATTCGTTTCTGGAACATACGATAATTTCGCGCAAAGGGGCGACCGCTGCATGACTTTGAAACCAACAAAAAGTTAGCCGCAAACAGTGGGCCAAAGTTAGCTATTTTGGTAGTCGACTACGAAATCCCGACAAGGAACATATGTATGTATGTATGTATAGTTAATTTTTATGTCGCTCGTCTTTTGTTAAATGTTATTAGTGTAATCGCATTTATCTGCAAAAAAACACCACTCAAAAATTTCCGTACGAAACTGGGCCCAAAACCGTTTAGTTTGCTAGCTCCGTAACGCTCTAGTAACACATACATACATATGTACATACATGCACTCATAGGAATTAAACTATAAACAAGATTGTATTATCTCTGCTTGTCGGTAAAAAAGTAAAACCAACAACAACTACAAAATATTTTCACCTTTGAAATTCACTTTCACTTGACATAGTGTGACATCGTGTATTAAATACGAACATCAAAAACTTTTACGTCGAAGAGTGCTAAACGAAGAGAACGCAGTTGTTATACGCGAGCAAAAGCTCTGAATCTACAAACACGCCCAAAGGCTTTTCATTACTGAATATACAATGAAAAATGGAAAAGCTTCGAGCAAGGCCAACCTTTGCAAAGAAACTGAGCGCACATGAAGTTGTAAACGTTAAAAGCTCC